GGATCAGACCGAGCCAACCCAAGGGTGTTCCCTGTGCCCCTGGTCTGCCCGGAGCGCTGGTGTGATGGGCATCAGTCGGCGAGCTGGAGGCACCACAACAAACCTGGTATTTGGATAATAGGATACTACATTATTAGGATAAATACATAATGCAGATAGGCCACGTCGCACAGCTTCGTTTTGGGGGATGGGGTGGGAAGTCTTTAGTTACTACTTGGAATTTGTTGGTGCCTGTGGTACAGTGAGATCTAATGACCCAGCCCCACCACAGCAAACCTGCTCATTTCTGTGCAGAGGGATTCCCAAAACACACTTTACCTGTGCTTACTGAAACTTTTTCCAGTGATCAGCTTAAGCCACCAGAGTGAAACAGTGGGAATACAGTGGAATAACATCTGCACCTGCTTATGGAGGAGCTTCTTACCTTTTTATCCTAAATGTATTTTTCTTGGTAGGCTACGGAAATTCTTAGAAAAGAATCAAATGTGCAAGAAGTACATTGCCCTGTCACCATCTACGGGGATGTCCACAGTCAATTCCACGACCTTATGAAACTTGGACTAATAAATCAGGCATTTTTGGGGCTCAGAAATGGAGACTAAATCTGGTGGGGTTTTTGGTGGAGGTGAGGGTTTGGGGGCTTCAGGGATAAAGTTTGTGTTGCTGGCACTTGGAACCAGTCCCACTGGGCCAATCCTAAGGCTGTGAAAGTGACTTCAGTCCTGTGTTTTGGGAGTGCAAAACCAGGCTCATCCAAGAAGTTTAAGTACTTGAACAGAGAGCCCAAATCCTGCATTTTGGGGGCTCAGGAACAGAATCCAAACCCTGTGTGTGCTTGGAACACAGAGCCCTGGCCTGGCACTGTTGGGGTTTGGCCCCCCTCAGCTCATCAGGGCAAGTTCAGGGCCCAGAATGCAGGTCAAGCCTTACCTCGTTGGGTTCTGCAGCCCAGCCACAGCGTTGTGAGGCTCATGTGGCCGGTGCGTGGAGGATCCAAACAAGTCCCCATCGCTGTTTCAGGCCGTGGAGCCCCCACTGCTGTTCCTGAGATGGGCAGGGTCCCTCCAAGGTGGTCCCGGGGGCACGAGGCAGTTCGGGAGGCGCCGAGATGACCGTTCCCAGGCTGTTCCCCGGCTGGGGCTGCTCAGGGGCTGGGATCCCAGTGCAGGCAACTGCAAGACCGGATGGACAGCGCCAAGGCAGCCCCAGTACGGCCGGTGATTTCCAGCATTTATTCGGTACCTGCTCGGAGCCGCCGCGCCCATTCAGCGCCCCCGGGACCGGCAGAGCCGCGGCGGGGCCCGTGGCCGGAGCCCCGGACAGGAGAGGAGAGGGAACGGCGGACTTAGCGGGGCGGGACTGGGAAGGTGACACTGGTGCGGGGTTCTGGGGGCCAGGCCAGGGCTCGGGAGCTCAGGAAACCTCGGAGCCGAGGCACCAGTTCCACGGGGAGGGACAGAGCCCTGGGACTCGCAGGGAACTGCGGCACCGGCCGGATCCCCCCTGCCGGCTCCATAGCCCGAGAGACCCGGCCCCGTACGCAGCTACGGCCCCAACCCCGGACGATCCTCACCGTTCCCGGGCTCTCCACAGCACCAGGAGCAGCCCCGCGCCGGGGCTCCGGCTCCGAGCGTTGATGCCTCCACACCCCCTGGAACAGCACGCGCGACCCAGAGGGACAGATTCCCGGGCGCGTTCCCGGGAAGTACGGGACGGGGGAGGGGCGGGGCCCGAGGGGCGGGGCCGGCACTGGTGGGCGAGGGGCGGGGCCAGGACAGGTGCGCGGGGCCACAGAGCGCCTGCGCAGAGCGGGACCCAGGGGGCGGGGGGTGCACAGGTGAGCGGGGCGGGGCCGCACAGGTGAGCGGGAACCCAGGGCGGCTGCGCGGGGCGGCACCGAGAGTATTTAAGCGCCGGAAGTCGCCTACGGCGCCATTTGCCCGGCCAGTGTGCGGTCGGAGGCGCTCGTTCGGGGCCGGCTCCCCCGGGGGGCCCAGGTGAGACGTGGGGGCTTCGGCCTCCCACGTCTATTCCTCTATATTCCTCTATACCTCTCATTTCTCCCCTTCCTTCCTCCCCTCCCCCACCCCCTACTCCCACCCCCCCCCCGGCCCCTGACCCACCCCTACCCTCCTTCGTCCCCCTCCTTCCTCCATCCTACCTGCCCTCCCCATTCCCCCCGCCTACCCCTACTGCCCTCTGCCTGCCCTCACATATCCCAACCCGCCCCTTTTTACCCTTCCTTCCTGCCTTGTCCCTCCCCGCTACCCAACACGAACCCCTAGTCTGTGCCACCGCTACCCCTTCGCCCTCCCTTCCCCCTTACCCAGCTTCCTTCTACCCTTGTCCCCCTACACACCCCGACCCTTACCCCTCTACTCTTCTTTCCTTACTCCACCCCACCTGTCCTTCCTCACCCGGCCTTCCCCTGCCTTTTTCCCCTCTCCCCCTCTTTCCCCTATACCCTCTGTCTTCCCG